TGTAATGCCAGCTCCTGGTTTCGCGTTATCGCGTCTAGTCTGGACGCGATAAGTCGAACCCAGAAGTTCGATTTCCAGCCGTCGAACTTGCCGGTAAGTGTAGCCAAGGCCTTAGTTTCATATTTCCTACTTTGCAGCGATCAACCCTGTGGCAGCAGCTTCTCTCCATGAAGCACAAGCAAGGTTTTTGGCAGCATAGATGAGCCACTCCTCCCCTGCTCCCCATTTTCTTCGGTCTCTAAAATATCTCTTTTCCACCTATTTGTCTCCCATTCTCTTTTTTGCCTATTGTGTCTCCCCTGTATCCTCCCCAGCTCCTATTTCCTCCCCTTTTGTTTCCCTCTTGCATTTACCTATTTGTTCTACATCCCCTCCCCTCTTGGAGCATCCATATTTACTTTTTTTGTGACCAGTAGGTGATCCTGCAAGGCACCAAGCCCCACAGGAAAAAAAAAAGGATTAAAGGGTGTTCAGATTGGGCCATTAGTCCTTGAAGCTATGCTATTTCCTGATACTAATACGTGGGGAAACTGCTCCTGTTGCAAATAAGCTGATACATCAAAATGTCAGAATGAATTTCTGATGCACCCATTGCAATACAGTTTCACGCACCCCCACAAATGCCTGTGAATTCCTAAGGAGCTGTTCATTTTCTCTATTTTTTCAGTGCTATTGTTTTTTCAGTAAGGCAGAGCCAACTGCTGTGTTGAGGTGGAATGACTTATGTGGTACCAGCGTTGGCACAAAAAGGTTCTGATGAAAACCTAGCATTCAAAGAAGCTGCTCATCTTTGCCACCATTGTATATCTAAGTAATAGGAAGGGCCCACACCTTGTAGATGGGCACCTTTAACATAAAATTCAAAATGTGATTTAGGGCAAATTTCCAGTCAACATGCTGTGAGCAGACATTGTGCCATCCTACAGACTGACATGACTGTGAGCAGCCAAGAGACCATATACCATACATGATTCAAGTGTATGAGTCAAAGGCTTGCATCCCAGCTGAGAATATTAAAATGGGTGTCTGCCTCTGGTTTCTGTGACTGTCACTAAAAAGATTAATTTGCACCATTAAGAACAAACCCCAGTTCCTTTCCTAGCTGTAGTAGAAGTGTTTGTGTAGCACTGTGGAATTATGTTGGACAAAGGTGGTGTGTCACATGAAATTTCCTACATCTTTTTGACTCAACCGGATACTATGATGCAGAGTCAATCTTTTGCCACCATAGAGATTTCTGTTCCGTACATCAGGGGAGCGTAGAACCAAATGCTACTTATTTTGGACAGAAAAGGTTCAAACATCTGTTCAAATACAGCCATAAGGTGACAAGGAATCCAGCTTTGATCTGGCTTTCTGTTGAATGTTAGTATATACTACAAAATTTGTAGTGAAAACGGAGTTCATCTTCTAACGACAACAATAATTTTAATGGACATAAACAGACTGCTATAGGCACTCAAGGTTTTCCGCTCCTCCTCCTCATCTTGAAACTGCAAATGGATCTAAGATGGTTTTCTAATTTTATATTAATATTTCATCCCATGAGCCACCAAAGCTAGAAGTAAGTTTAGAGCCCCTTTGGAAAGTGCTCCCCACCCCCACCGCTCCCAGGTCTTCAGTCGTATAACATTCCCATTTCTATCTCTAAAGGTCTAGAGGATAGTGGACCTGAAATCTGTCTCTGGTTCCAGGTTGTCTTTTGCCCATCTATCACCCCAGATTAATGTAATTCTTGGATTTGAAAGGGATTTCACATCTGGAGAAACAAAGTCATTATTTCTGCACAAGGTTGCTTAAAGAAAAAAAAAAACAAAAAGAGCACAGCAGCTCTTTGGGGGAAAAAAGCATCAAGGTTTAGAATGTTTAGATATAGGCTCAATAGAGAGGATTCATCACATGGCTCACCAGGTACCCGGCTTTCCCCACACTTATAGTGTCGAAAAAGTATATGAAATTGCATTTCACATTCCCTTTTGTCCATCCCACCTGGTACATCACTAATCTCTCCTGCCTGGGACTAACATTTCAGACCTGTGAACAGCAGCTCCAACTGCTAGTTAAGAAATAAAAAGTTTCCCCAGCGCCCCACCACATGGAAATTCCCTAAGAAATTATGTTGGGCTCAGATGCTGCTCAGCCAATAGTCAGTCATGGGGGAGATCCCAACTCAGGCTGCCTTTTTGGCTAGTAACAGAAGCTTTATTCCAGGACCCATACAAGGGACCGCTAAAGCTGCTATGGCCACCTGTTCTGGGGCACTCTGAAAACTCAGACAGGGCTCTGGCACTCAGGATAACAAGGGACAGCCCTGCAGGGTGGAACTTTTTAGTGCTAAACCACACATGACTAGACCTCCAGCAACCCGCCTTTCTTCAGCTAAACGCCAGTTTACAAGTGGGAGCTGGTCTGGCGGGCAATGAATGGAGGTCGGGTTTCAAACAGTCACTCCCACCGTGTCTGACCGCTCTGCGGGCTTGTCCATGGTCCCGGGGGCAGGGGTGTAACGACGCAAACAGCTTTCGCTCCCCATGCAGCCTGCACAAAACCTAGTTCTCCAGGGAAAGGGCTGAAAGCAAAATGGTGGGTGTAAAATGGTGACTGGCATGTCTGAAGCGGAAAGAGTAAATCCTTCTGCGGCTAGAGAGGTAACACGCAATCAGAGCATGGAGCCCTCACGCTGCTTGTCCTGAACAGACGCCAGCTGCAGTTTCGAGCCGAGAGTTTTGAGAGCTCATTAGGCTCAGTGAACACAGAGCTTCCACCTGGTCTGTTTGGCATCAGGACATCTGGCAACAATCAGGACGTATTATACCTTTGCTTGTGAATCCCAGTATTGACAGTGGGAAAAGGCCCTTCAGTGTCCCGCAGTTTGGCAAAATAGCTCTCTGCTGCCTC